AAACAAACTCACCTTTGTCCCCGCCACAGACGCGCTCACAGGCATTTCTCCCCCTCTCTGCTGCCTGGAGGCCAGCCGGCGTTTCTGTCTCATTCAGACACTTGCCGAGTTTTACAGCCTGTTGTGGGCAATTGTCTGGTGGGGCCGATTTCCTTCGCTGGAAAAACTGGCTGCTTTCCTCCTCGGCCTGGTTCCACGCAAGTACGTGCCGCTCGGGATCACGCCGCTTAGGGGCCGTTCCCCTCGGAGCCCCCTGCACCGCGAGGACGTACCTTTGCCGTCACGAAGCCGCCCGGAGCTGCCGAGGTGGCTGTGCTTGGGAGAGGTCTCCTGCCCACCCACGCGCCGGCCGCAGAGCTCCCACCCGACTGCCTGAGACCCTGACCGTCCACGCTCATTTTTGACCTCAGGAGCTGCGTTCTGCCATCCAGCTCTGGAGAAAAGGCTTCTAGAAGGACCTGTTCCAGGGTGGGGACAACCTTGCCAAACCCCTCCCTGCAGCATGGACCAATTTGAGGGAGATCCCCCCCCAGGAGATTTCCTCAGGCTTGCCGTGCCCGGGACAAAGGGCAGCGCCGACACGTCTTCTCCACCAGCCCTAGGAAGCTGGGGCGGCGTCTGGCTCTGTTTAAACGAGGCAATTTTAGCTACAGAGTCTATTTGTGCATTTATTTAAGATTGCTAAAATTTTCCTGTTCCTTCCTACCCCTCCTCCCAGCCTCGCCGCCCTCGGGGCAGGCACCAGCTCTCCCGTCGGATGATTTCTGTGCCGAAGGAGCGACATGCCGCGGGCGTCACGGAGTGAACACGGTGGGACGGCGCCGCAGCCCCCCGGCCCTCCTCACCCTGGCCACGGCTTGATTTTCTGATGGGCCAACGGATACGAGCATTTAGAAACAAGATCTGTCACTTAAATAAACATGGTGCTATGTAAAGAAAAACCCAACGGAGATTAATTTCACGTTCACCTATAATTACACTGGAAAAGGCGAGCGGGCCTAAGAAAGCCCATCTTAAAATAACATTAAAGCCTGTTCAATTCTTCGTCTAGCCCGTTTTGTCTACTAACAGCACACACGCATTTGTACATGTTATTAGATTGACGTTGTAGCATCCTGGACAAATCAATTCAAATATCTGCAGATATCTGCAGGTACGAAACGTCGTAGCTGAGAAATGAGCACATAAAGTATATGCAGTTTTCCCCTGGCAGTTTATTATGGTATGAAGAAAAAAACATTCTGTGCTTGAAGCTGACGTTATATTACAAATGTATTGCGAAGTATGATGTGACTATTAAAATATGATTACACAAAGTATGAACATTTTAAGAAGTTTACAGTACAGTGAATCTTTTATAAACAGACTCTTAAATATACATAGGACAATAGTAGCTGACAGAAAAACATCAAAAATTAACTATTAATGTTTATAGACTTTTCCCCTGAAAAAAGTCTCACATTAAAACAGAAATTATGAAAAGCCTTAAAACCAGGAACAAATCACCTGTACACTACAAATATACATGGCAGAGGTGCACAAACCAGAGCTACCTTTTCGCTGAAGGCTGCGGTCGCCAGGGAGGTTTGGCAGTGCCTGCCCAGTGCCTCCTCTCCGGCGCAACCCGCTCCAGGCAGCGCAGCGCCTGCCGCCTGCGACGCCCAGGCACGCACACGCCTGTCAGCACGCACACGCCTGTCAGCATGCACACGCCTGTCAGCACGCACACGCCTGTCAGCACGCACACGCCCGTCAGCAGCTGTAACGTCACCAGCACACCCTCACGGCGGGACAACGGACGGCGGGGTGTCGGGGTCGAATCGACCTGCTGGAGTGTATCGAGTTGAGAACGTGCCCGGGATCTTGCAAATGGATCTCTGCGGGCAGATCCCTGAATGCACCGGGAGCCCGGACGGGACCTACACACCAGGATTGGGCTGCAAGACTGAGCTACGAGGGAATCAGCAGCTCCTTTTACGGATTTTATTTTTTTTAATGCAACACTTCAATCTTTCCTCTTGATATGGGAGAACAGATGCCACATCTGATTTCTGCTTAGTCTGGTTGCAATGACACCCCTAGTTCATGTGTTAAGTTATGTCAAAAACATAAGTATTTTATGCTGTAATACACAGTATTACTGAAACTAACAATATTATTTGCATATTTATAACAAGGTATAATGAAATCCCTATAATAAAAGAAAAAGTTATGCTATAGATTTATTTACAAACAGTCCAGCAAAGAAGTATAAATACTTCTACATTTAAGGTTTAGGAAAACATAATTTACAAAATATTCAAATATATACAGTCATCTGAAAAACTGCCAATATTAAACTGTGATGCAGGCAAAGAATTGGCTGAGTCTATCCGTTCTGTACTGAAAGGGGCGGCGGCTTTCGGGGGTTGTCTGTTACGTTCAAAAGCCGTACGTACGTTATTTACAGCGAGACTGCTTCTCCCCGAGCTAAACATGTCCGGAGCTTTGAGCGTGCTGTCCCAAAATGTCGTCTATCATTGTCAGATTGTTCAACCACTCCTCGTCGTTGCTGCTGCTGTTCTTCATGAGGGAGTCGAGGAAGTCAGTGTCACTGCAGTTTGCGGGCAGGATCGCACTGCTGTGCGGGGACACGAAGTCGTACTGCGGCAGCTCGGCAGCGGCGCTCATCCTGTTGAAGGCGTCGGGCGGCTGGCCCGTGGAGGGGTAGCTCGGCGGGCCAAGGCCCGAGGCAGGACTGAGCTGGTTAAAACTGGACACTCCCTGTGGCATTGATTTCATAACATTCATAGCTGGCAACGGTCCTCTGGTTAAATTGTGTCTCAAGTTCTGATTACTCATTGAGCTCAAGCCCTGGCCAGACTGCCCCATGCTCAGTTTTTGCATCTGTCGGACCTGGACGCCGGGAGCGATCTGATTAGGCGGCACTACAGCCTGCTGGGAGAACTGCTGACCCGGTGCGCTTGGTCTCACGTTCTGTTTGGAGAAGAGAGTGTTACCGGAGAACTGCTGCATGCCGGGATCCATTTGGCTTTGATTTGGCATCCTTGGCACAGCGGTCGGTGTCCACATCTGGGCAGATGAGTTGGGGTAGACGTTAGGGATTCTTGGCATACTCGGCTGCCTCAAGTGTTGCTGAGTCGCAGGGTGATTTGCTAAGGAACCAGAACTGAAGCCTGCCATCGGCAGTCCCGGCCTCGCAGCGGAGTGGCTATGTACT